GAAAGCTACATATACATAACAGTCGAGAGATACAAAAATGATGGGAAAAAATAAGTAAACTGAGGATTAATCACTTTCCTACCGTGAGAAAAAGTATAAGTTCAGTGTGGGTACATATTTACTTAGAAATTTGAATTTTTTTCATTTAAATAGAATAAACAATTGGTTTCATAAAAGACTAAGGTTTTGAGAAAATATATATTTTCTTACTTGAAAAATATTTTATAATGGTATGAGTAAATATGTTATATATATATGTATATATATATATATATATATATCTCAGCAGTATCTCACGTGGAACAAATTTCAAGTAACGACTATTAATGCACAGAGAAAAAAAAATTGTAGTAAAAATTACAATAAAATTCTTGTAATATTGATCCATACAGAATTATGACTAAAATTATTACATATTTATTAAAAAATGTTACGCACGTGTTGCTTTTTACTATAAAAATAGTTCTAATTTGAATATTTTATATATATTAGGTATAAATTGTTAAATTTATTATTTTTACGGTAATTTATACTACAACTTCGATATAGTTCAGCTTCACAAGGAACGTTGTAAAAAGAAGTATAAAATTTTAACACAATTTTTACTATAATATTCTCTCCGTGTGCGGAGGAACTTTCAGGAAAATGGCGGCTGCATAGTTTCTCTACAAATTGCGAATCTGCACTCGCGAGGGCGTTACTTCCGCGTTTAGCCAAAGGTAGAGATGAAAGGGACAGCAGTCGGCCGGCGCCGACATCGGTGAATGACACTCGGGGACTCGCGCGAGTATGAAGATCGATCGTTCGATTGATCGCTCGAAATAGAGATTAGCGCGGCGTGAAAAGCTGGATAATAAGCGAATGGTGATTACGGGTGATTTCCGACCCGGCGATTTCTGTCGATAGTATCGTTAGGCCCAGATCCATCGGCCACCTGGCAGAGAACAACCGGCTGCACGTTCGCGTGTTCGCCACCTTCCACCCTGAGGATCGTAATACTTAGCTAGCTTACACCCACTCCCCGGGTTCGATCATGGCATGGCGATCAATTATTCGAATCTACTTAAGGGAGAACCGCGCTACGTCGAAAGCGTCTCGTAAGGATCCTCGGCGAACGAGAAGAGACAGAAAAATGTTTGGATCGATTGTTAATACTGCACAGAACAAAAAGATTTGAACAACTAAACATAATTTGCTATATTAGCCACTTTTTCTTTGCTGCAGAAGCCAATTTCCTTGCTAGGATAACAAGAAAATCTGCTCCTGCAAACAAAAAAGTAGCTAAAGCAGTAAATTATGTTTAGTTGTCCCATCTGTAGTAAATTTGCTGCGTTAGCTACTTTTCTTACTGCAGGAGCAAAATTTTTTTGTTATCATAGCAAGGAAATAGGTTCCTGCAAAGAAAAAGTAGCTAACACAACGAATTATGTTTAACTGTCCATATGTAGCAAATTGGTTTGCTGCTGCAGCAAATCCTTTTTTTCCGTGTAAATAGATAGTTTGATGCTTCCTGATGCGAAAATCTACGCATTATACGACCTATTTATAGACCATATCATGACTAGTACTCATATATCGAATCAGTTGTTCCTTATTAGTATGAAATGACATCCTGGTTATATAAATTGATCTGTAAGGCGTTTTATTTATTACACTAAAACACTTGCGTGCACTTGGCTCCTATTGGCCCTTACTGTTTCGAACACGGTTATATCTCAGGGAGACTTATCCCCGCTAAATTCAACTTTTCAAGAAGAGGGAGAGAAGTCCTTCCTTCCTTCCTTTTTTTTTTTTCTTCACGTCAACGTAACATATTCGAATTTATGAATTTCCGTGTTTAGACGAGCTGCAGCTGGTGCCGGACCGGTCTCGCTGGTATTCGGGACCCTTCTATCCGGAAAATTTCCGCTCCCTCGCCGCACTCTTCTCCCCGTCCGGCGGTAGCTCTGCAGCTTTCAAAGGACACGTGACTAGGCACGCCCAAGATTTCTCGCATGCATATAATGTCCTTAAGGGTCGCCGTGCAGTCCTACCCGATGATACGCGATACATACGGGGCGGTACAACGGCGGAGTAGCGCTGTCCATCTTCGGACCGTTGAAAATTTTTGCCACGCGATCCTGTATAACCGCCCATCGAGCGGCGCTAAACCGGAGACAATGTGGATCCCGACGCGAGTCTAATGAGACCTTTGTCACACCATAATGATCGACGTCGAAATATTCAAGAAGTCTATCGATATTCCGGTCACGTAGGAACAGTTACAGTCAGGGCGGAGCATGAAAAACACGAGTAAACAAAAAGATCCCTGACTGTGTTCGGTCTTCTAGGCGAGAATTTTTCGACTAGGTGACGACGTGAATTCCTCGCTCATTAGAGCGACGTCCAACTCGGCCGGTGCTCGAACGGACGTTGCGCTTAGGAGCGTGCAATTAGAAAATAGCCTAAATTCAAGGCGGCTCGCGATTCGAGTCGTGAATTATATTTCGCTGCGTTGCCATGGCGAGCTGAAGCGGCGAGAAGTGCTCGGGATGTAGCACGGCCAACAGGGAAATGGCCAATTATTAGAAGAAACGCACGTGGGTCGTACTTAAAGCCCGCTGCTGGCTAGGCCAGCGTCTCACCTACTTCCTCTGATCGTGAGTTCGCGGGAGGAGGACGTCGGGATATGACGTAAAACGCGTGTTTCCCCGTACAACGACACGTTACTGGAATTTTTATCTACGCGCTAGATTGCACGGATAAAACCGCAGATGAAAAGACCCGCTGCGCGTTCGGTGAACTCAATGAGCGATCGGCCATTACTGGGTATACTCGAAAGGTGCGCGCATACTTTTGTATCAGCTAATCTCGGATGTGGATTTTTATCGGTTGCACAGAGAGAGAATTTTACAGGAGAACCTATTATGTAGAATTTTCTCACCGAAGAGTAGACCGACATTCTGCAGAAATTGGTTATCTCTCCTTTCATTTCATATCTGCCATTTATATATTTCAGGAATTGAAAGATGCATGGAAAAAAGATTTGGTTGAATTAATATCTGGTCGAATATGAACGATCCAGAAATTCCGATTGAAGTAATCTGAATTCTGTTTAAGTTAACAAGATTTTTGGTTGATTTGATTGAAAACAGAATACGGGTTACTTTAATCGGAATTTCTGGATCGTTCATATTCGACCAGATATTTGGTTAATTCAACCAAATCTTTTTTCCGTGCACCTTTCAATTCCTGAAATATATAAATGGCAGATATGAAATGAAAGGAGAGATAACAAATTACTGCAGAATGATATTTGGTTAATTCAAACTTTTTTTTCGTGTGCTATTAGAAAATTTGGTATGTTTCTACACACGAAAAGAGTACATATTGTATTCAAGTAAATATTTGTTTCAAGCATCTCGTAAATTTATATATCCACAAATCTGTCTCTCTCACAAATATTCATCACAAAAAACATCGAAAATGTTTAATATTTTTCTGTGTGAAATTTACTGGAAACATAGTAAAATTAACATAGTAAATTAAGAAGTGAATTTGTATGAAAAAGAACTGTAATATATATATATATATATATATATATATATATATATATATATATATATATCCTCTCTGCGTAATATAATAAAAAGCAGACATCCCCGAATGGCTGACTAAGCGGCTCGTTTAGTAGAAAAGCGCAGTCGTTGTGACCGCAAGTGCAATATCGCGTGACACCGCGAGTCGCAATTTTCACGGAGCGCTCTTCCTTCGACCGCTTTTCTGACTAATTAATTGATGGACGTAGACCCGGTATGACGCGGTGCAATATGCTCGCGCACACGTGCTGTCGGAAAACCTCGTCAACGAGGAGAGACACAGCACGGACGCGAGTGTCTTTCTCTCACGTTGATTCAATTATAATGTGGTCGCGCGCGGCGTCGGGACGCCACTCAATCGCTCTCGATCTGGCATTGAGCGTTAACGCGGGACGGGAGGGGAAGGCGGGGAGAGAACACGACAAGTGTCGATCGTTAACGATACGGTGACTAGTCGCGCCTGAATATTTGAACGGCACGATTGACGTCACGAGTGTCGGCGCGAACGGCGAGGTGTCGTGAGCCGACTCGTGGAAATCGCGCCGATAGTTTTATCCCCGACGAGAGACCTCGTCGCGCAAGGTGTATCCGCTGTTTGCACAGTACGTATCATACGTCCGTCGTGAATTCAAGTCAGGATGAATCACGATGGAAGCGCGACGCGTGCGATAAGCCTCCCTGACGAGAGAGAGAGAGTGGAAGGCGCGTCCATCCGCAGATGATAATCACCGATTAACGGGCGATAATAACGCCGATGGAATCGACGATATGTACGTTCGCAATTTTTTTCTCTCCGCGTCTCCCTTTTATTTTTCTCTTCTTCTCATCGCGATATCTCTGACTGAATACTAAGGAGATCGGCTTATCTGTAACACCGCAACTATTACGTCTCTATCGGTGGAAGGAGGTCGTTAGTGGACTTTGAGAAAACGACACTGCCTGCGATTACATGACGCCGAGCAAAGGTCGCACGTACGCGGGATTTTATTCAATTATCGACGCATGTGTTTTCTCTCGTCCTGCCTCTTGTACCTCCATCCGGCTATCCTCCGCTCCGATTCGAGCACGACGTCGATCGTAACGATGAACGTCGCGTTCGGCGTCTCTCCTATCGTGACACGCCCGTCATCGTATCATCGGTAATGATGGAGCAACGACGAGACATGACGATTATGACAGAGAGAGAGAGAGAGAGAGAGAGGCGTCGCTGTGCTCGCAAGGGTAAAACCGCTTCGAAGAAGCGCGCTCCACGTTGAAAATTGAATCCGGACCCTCCCACGGCACATACAGCAGCCGTCCCATCCTGCTGCGGCCTGCTGCGGCCTGCTGCGCGGGGGCCCGGTGCTTCGCGTTAGATCCCAAAGTCTTCACCCGAGATAAAACACACTATAAACGGCCGCCCTGACGGGTATCTGGTTTCAGGGAAGCGGCGGCACGTGCGCCGGAGTTCTGGCCCAGGTGCTGGAGCTCGTGCTGTCGAAGAGACGCAAGGAGGAGGAGCGGCAGCAGCAGCGACAGCAGCAGCGGCAGCAGCAGGAGGAAGAGAGGCTAACGATAGAGGACACGAGGTGGGAGGAATAGAAGTCGAGGAGACCAGCTCGCCGGTGGCGAGGAGCAAATTCTGCTGCGACGACAGCGGTATCAGCAACAAGCGCCACTATCACTCCTCGCCGCCTCACCTCCACCACCTTCTTCATCGCCACAACCGTCGGCAGCCGCGTCGGCGATATCACCGTCGAACCGACATCGACGACGAGGACGACGGTAATGACGACGACGGCGACGACAAGAAGGCGGACGGAGACGAGGACGGAGACGAGGACGACGAGGACGACGACAGCAGCGACGAGAGCGCGTGCCTCGAGTGCTTCCACTCGCGTCTGCACCGGCGATTCTACGACCGGCGGTCCAGCAGGTCGAGCGACGTCGACGCTCGGCTCGACGTCGAGCACGTCGAGGTCCGTCGGTCTGAGAGCGTCGCGTCGTCACCGGCGGCGGCGACGACGACGACGACGACGGCGACCACCGTCCATTCTCTGGCGCGGACCTCGCCCGCCACCACCGCCAGAAGCACCGCCAGCAGCACTACCATCGCTAACCCCTCAGTCGTCACTGCCATGGCGAGAGGATGCAAAATTCCACCCTACCTCGCGACGATATTAATTCTCTCCTACACTCTCCTCGGTATCGCAGGTTGGTATAGCGCGGCGCATCGAGTCTTGCCCAAACACGACGACGACGAAGTTCCTGGCTTGTTCAGCGCGCTACGTGCGCTTGTCCGATACCCAGCTTTGTTTTTCTTGCGCGACAGTAGTCGCGTGTGTCACGTTATTTCAGCTTGAGAATCGGACAGGCGCGTTTAGCGTGCCGAGAGTCTTCTCTCGAGTTCCCGTTTCTTTCGAGCACACGTCTCCCGGCAATCGCGCGACCCTCTCTCGGGCCGAGTGTGTTCTCCCGCGTCATTCCTGATACGTTTGTCTTTTCTACACGAGGAAAATTGTATGGCAGAAATTGCTGTATAATCTTCTAACCGAGGAATAGATTGACGTCTTACAGTAATGCATTATCCCTTTATTCTACTTATATTTTGGGAGCTGAAATGTGCTGTTAAAACACTTGTTGTGTTTCGAGCAAAATTTACAGTGTTCTTTAGCAAGATAGACCTTATTGACAGTCTATTTTTGGACTACTGAAAGCATAGTAAAATTGACAAAAATTTATATGAAAAAAAGAGGGAAACTGTAATATTCTTTCCGTGTATGCACAGTTCAAGTCGGAGATGTTCCTCAATGGACAACGCTTGTCGCATTCGTCGAAACTTCATTTACCGCGTACTGCAATCCGCGTTCGACTTCTTTTGGCTAAACTTCCTTTTACTGTTTACTCAATATTTTCGTTGTTTCGTAACCATGTCGGGGCAACGGTAAAGAGTTCGACGAGAATACACCCATCGGTCAAGTTCTCTTCCGTTGAGCGAGCGAAAAAACGAATGAACGAATGAGTGCTCGTGAAAATAGCGTATACTTAAAAAAGAACGGAGGAACGATAAATTGTTATTTTGCCTTACGCCACCAACGTGGAATCGGTCCCGTGTGTGTGTCACATTTTACCGTACTTATTACGCTCATTGCGCTACAATCTTACAATCTGTCGTTTCGTACCTCCACCACGCCCGTCCGAAAGAATCGGCCGGGCAAACAAAGGCGCCCGCCATACAAAGTGCTTTCGTATCGAGCGAGAAGCTGTCGCGCGCGACAAAGCGTTTATTTTATACGCGACTTATGCCGGATGACGACGTCGACGACGACGACGACGACGACGATGACGAAGGCGCGAATAAACGCATGTAATATAATAATACTTACGTGTCACGTTGCACCTGGTCTACGCGTAAACCGTCCAGAGATAATCGACGTAGAAGGAGAGTGTCGTTATCCGTTTTCCTGTTTCTCGCGTATCGCGCGCTGCAATTTACAAAGGCGCTACCTTCCGCGCGCGCGCCGCCGCCGCCGTCACACAAATTCACCTTTCTTCTTTCAGCACGACCGCTGCCGTGCACCTTCATATGCCTTCTTGTGCTCGACTATCGCCCGCGATAGCGCAAAGATAATAAAATGTGAACCGACGTGTGCAATTAACGAATCTCGCACGACGGGTTTTCAAATCTTATCAACCCTCCAGGATTGACGGCTCTTCGCGCTCGCAGAGAATGCTAGTAGTGGCGCCTCCCGACTTCTTTCTTTACCAGCGATAATGGCGCACTGGGAACGAAATACTTGAAAATTTATTTGTGGGGTGAGAGTTGATTTCACGGAGATAAACTCCATGTCCGACAAATAAATTTTCAAGTGTTCTGTTCTCAGTATGTGGAGGAGTTGGACGTATCTTTGAGTCGGGGGTATGTTTACAGAGAAATGGTATCGAGCGCAAGGGATCACAATTGACGATGATAATAGTAGGAGAATTGAACGGGGTTAAACTGAATAAATGGGAATCGCGGGGCGGAGGGGGGAGGGATAAAATTATATACCGCCCACTCGCGCGCGCGGCAGATTAAAGCGCACACAGGGCGAACGTCGGTGTTTGTCGGAGAGTGTCTGGAAACGGCAGATTGTAAAATTACAACAGGTGACAGACAGCAGCCACGCGCGGGACAGATGCAACGCCGCGCCGTACTTTGCAGCTTTGTGTACAGTCTCGCGCCTGCGAGATGCACGCGCGGGCTCTCGTCCTGCCCCGGTGTGGGGTGGGATAGCCGCGTGGCTGTTCGGGCAAAAGGCGAGGGTGTGAATGGAGGAGCGAGAGAGAAAGAAAGAGAGAGAGAGAGAAGCGCCGTATACGGCAAACCATTGTGCTCGATGTGCTTGGAAAAGCCGACTAGATTTCTAGAGTGCTCGTTTTATCATTCGCTTATTCTCATCGCACCGATAAAACGTTATTATCTATGCTCAGAAGGGCGCGGAACGAAACATGAGAACAATAATTTTACTTGTGAACGAACATAGAACACGATAAATGAACAGTTTGAAGTAGATTGTAAACACAGATTCAAGACAGAAGTAGATTCAAAACACAGCAACAGACTTGCAACAGTTGAGCCTGAAACTATTTGACATTTTCTCGGGCGTGTATGTGCTCACTTCTATTGGCTCAGTCAATAAGTTCAATTCGATCGTTTAGTCAAATTTGACTTTATTGCATCCTCTGTCGTTTACTTCGGGAGGTTTGTTTTCGGTAGAAAATCAAACTGAACCGTTCGACATATAATTGACTTAATATATATCGTTTGATAACAATAAATTCAATTAACAATAAATCAATTCAATACCCTCATGGTACACACTGGGTTAGCGTAACCCAGGCCGTTTTTCAAAAGTGCAGCGTCTCGAAATGCGAAGGGGCAAGGAACTTTGGGACCGGGGGAGGGGGGAAAAAGTTTGTAGTCCCAACTCTCATTTCTCCGCTGGATGCGTTAATTCCACGCGCAGAAGCTGATAGACGAGCATCGGAAACTGGGATTTGGGTTAGTTTTACACAGTGATTTTACGTCACAAAATCGTGCGAAGTAAAAATATCAAATATTTTGTAAAATTGCTTTAAACTGTTTTTTCGTTTACATATAGCGTCCTAAAAGTGCATTATTCTCCTATCCATCAAAAATATCGATTTATAAAAATAAATAAAAATTCATGCTTTTATTATGGATAAACATTTACATTTATCATGTTTTCATTGTTTTATTTTTAATAGGTTATAAATTAACAAAATGTATAAAAATAACATATAAAAAATATTTGTTTTCGTGCGAAATTGATAATTCTTAAATTTTACCTCATTTTCGTTCATAAAAAACGAAATGAGCCATTTTCAACTTGCAAGAAAAATATGGTTCTTGGATTAGACAAAAAACTTACTCGGAACATTTTAAAGTTCAACTTTTTTGCTTTTTAACGACTCCTTATGGAATCGTAAACATATATTTTTCATAAAATTATGAACATTAAAAAAAACGATTTATAAGAAAAAATAAAGTTTTCTTTTATTTATTTATAAATATCTCTGAGCGTGTTAACTATATCATCATGAAACTTCTTTTATATTGTTTCTAAGATAATTTTCTATCGATTAAAAAAAAAGCATTAAATTTGAACAATTAGATCTCGAGATATAGGTTCTCAAAGTTGCCCGAGTTACGATAGCCCAGTGTGTACTTCCCGTAACTTTTTTATAGTGTGTATCATGAGGGTTAATGCCATTTCATTTCGAACCAAAGCAAAATAACTCGTCGCCAAGTTGATTGCAATCAATGGCAAGGAGTTTGCAAACATTTTCATCTTGATAGACTTAAGAACGCGTCCAGCGCGCGCAATAAAATTTATTATTCCGAGGATGATTGAAAAACAGACTCTTCTATCGGACACGTTGCGAAAGTCATCGAGAGAAAAAGCGTTGCGACCTTTCCTGCCGATGACTGCGCACATATGCACGTTTATTAATTGTTGCATTTTGCCAACAGATGCCTGCTCGTCGCGCTCGACGCCGAAACCGAGGCCGCCGACACCGACGGATCGACCGAACATCACATTCCACATGTATACATGTCCACCGGATTACGCAGAGTGGTATTGCTTGAACGGCGCCACGTGCTTCACCGTTAAAATTGTCGACTCCCTCCTGTATAACTGTTTGTAAGTAACGAGTTCGCCTTTGTCCGAGCTATAACAATTCGGGTCGACCATCTTTGTCTCCTAACTAGTGTCCGTGAAATTTTCACCTGTGTGGAATGTGTATTTCGCGGCGAAAACTCCTGCAGACCGCAATGCAGCGACCGCTGGGGGAGCTTTGAATATGTCAATATATGCCGGGTCGCGTACGGAAAAGGAATTATAGGCTCGTTTGATGGACGGGACACAATGTGCAATGCGAACAATCGCGCGCGGCGGTTCTAAGCGAAAAAAATCACCTCGGGAATACAGCCTTCGCCGCACCGTTTGTCTGTCCATGTCGCTTCACTGTTAATCTTCAACTATGCGACCTCAGCACGTACGTCGTTCTCCTGCTCGATCGTGTTAGAATGTGAACATCCCACAGGGGATACCCCATGCTCTCTTATAAGCTCTTTCTCCTTCTCGCCGCGCAGGTTTCATTTCATCCCTTTTTTATTTAAACGTCATAAATTGTCGGGAGAGAATCCCGAGAGCATCCTCGGCGCTGAAAAGCAGAAGTGCCAGTCGTGTGTCGTTGACGAGTTATTGGTAAAGGTGAAGAATCTAAAGCGGGAAACGTCGAAGTAAAGTATTGTAATGCAGTGCGTATTCCGGCATTGCTATCAATTTATAGCTAATAATGCTTTATGCATATGTAATTGCTTTGAATCTAATGTTATCTTAATTTAATTTAGCTTAGTTGTTAGTTTAATTTATTTTAATTTGATTTAGCATTCGTCTCCTACCTAATCGAGTTTTATAAAATTATATGGTGCAAGATATAATGATTTGAAAACTAGAATATTATTTTAAAAGTAATTAAAATCTTTTTGTAATAATTATTAAAATCTTTCTGTAATAATTATTAAATCGTTAAAGTCACCGACAATCGCGTCTCTTACTCGTCGTAGGTAGCAATTGAATATATTTGTGGGTTCTCTCTTTCTCTTTCGATGTCGGAAATATAGTCTAAAATTCAAGCACCGCAGAAGGGAAAAAAGGTCTATCAACTAATCGGATTAACATCGGAGTAACATCGAGGAGCGAAGCGCATCGTGCTCGCTCAACCTTACCATTTCCCACGGTGTTTGCTTTGTCGACCGCGATCTGCCGCTTGAATCGAGTCGTCCCGTCGTCGTCAGTTCGCCGCGGCCAACTTAAATTAATCTAACGGTCGCGCTTTATCGCGGGAGCTGAAGTAGCGGGCACCGCTGAGCGCAATTTAACGATAAGGTGCGAAAAATGTTCGCGAAGAAGAACCCCGTGAACCGGAAACGACTTTGTCGATGGGTAATTACGAGTGTTGAACATAACGATGCCGAGTAACGCGACGATTCTTTTTGCACGATGTTAAATAAATCGAGAAATAAATCGAATAAAAGAAAAGGAAATTTCGAAATGTACTCGAATTGAAGAACGCGCGAAATGAAAAGAAATTGAAACTATTGAAGGATCGAAATCTACACTGTAAAAACTGATGTGTTAAATTTAACACATTTTATGTGTCTCAAATCATCTACTCTCATTTATGTGTAAATTTAACACAAAACAAATGTATTAAAAAGTAACACGCATAATATGGGAAAAATTAACACAAGAATTCAACACTTGAATGCCGTTAGGAATCACAGATTGCGTTAAATTGACATATTTAATGTCAGATATAGACACATTATGTCAATTTAACATTTTTATTTCATCAAAACCGTAGATCAATACTTCTCTCAAATGTTAAAGCAATGTTTTATTTTAGTTAATTTAACATTATACATATGTCAATTTAACACAAACTATGATTCCTGACGGTGTTCAAGTGTTAAATTTTTGTATTAATTTTTTACATATTGTGCATGTTACTTTTTATCACATTTGTTTGTTAAATTTATACATAAATAAGAGTGGATGATTTGGGACACATAAAATATTAAATTTAACAGTTTTTACAGTATAAAAGAGTGTCGTAAATAAAATTAATCTACTAGTAGACCAAAAAATAAATCAAAGGAGACGAATGTCGACTTTTATCTCCTAAAAAAACAAGCGAGAAAAATAGTCGGGAGGGGGAGGGGGCAGAGAGAGAGAGAGAGACGCAGACGACGTATATGTTCTACTTTTCCATTTTTCGCGCTCCCATAATCACGCACGGATTAGATAATCAAGTAATGAGAAGATCCCGCGAGATGGACGGAGAAAATGTACTACGGTGGAAAGTGGTAAAGGCGAAGGATCCGACGTTTCCATTTTTCTAACGAAACGGTCGGATGAACCGCTATTATTCGATGTGATTTAACGGCACGCTTCGAGAAGCATAGTTTCGCGTGTCGAATTGTTCCATGCGCAATGATAAAGTTGAACGTACGACGAACAGAAGTTGGTGAGGAACGTATACTTCAAAACATACTTGAGAATACACACACACATATAATTACTGCGATATACTTAAGGATATTTAAGCGAATCAAATCACGCGAACGAGAGAGAGAAAGAGAGAAGCTAATTAAAATCGCAGACTCGCGGTCGTGGAATTACGTTCATTTGCAAGAGTCATTCGCTACAATTATATCAGAGCGGATCTGTGATGTGTGACGTCAAGACTGAAAGGAGAGGAAAAGCACATTAGCGATAAAGATTATTTCTCACGCGCGCGCGCGGCGTTACACGTAAAAAAAAAAAATATATATATATATATATATATATATATATATATATATATATATACATACATATATAAGCCACGCGATCAAGTCAAGCGTCGGAGAAACGCACCGGGAGGAAGTCGATCGAGCCGATAGATAATCCGAGAGGTAAAACGCAAAAGCGGAAAGAAACACGACTAATCGCGCAATGCCATCCCCCGCGTGAAGGGCGATGGAGATAATAGTGTGTGTAGAAATGGCAGTTCGCCTGGAAAGCGGTGCAAAATAACGCGCCTTCGACAACGACAACGATCGTGTTCCCCGGATCTGGAGGAAACGCCGATGATACCCGCGCGTGTTGCCGCCTTCCTGTTAATTTCATATACCGCTAATTGTTCTGAGAACTCTTTTAATTATCGCGTAATCACGCGCATCGTAAAGCGCAATCTGCCAAATTTAACCGGTTTGTTGATTCCCTCAAATTTTTCCCCGATAATTAAGCTTAATTGACTACTTACTAATTGGGCGTTTTTGACACAGGCGCCTCCGCCTGATTAATACCGCGCGATATGAAAGAGAAAGGAGAAGAAAGCAACTCGAGTCTCCCTTTATAACATCCGGTTGTTCGCCAATTCCGGCAGATTCGCGATATATTTTGAATAATGCCGATTAATTAAGCTAATTGCCGGTGTGCTTTTGCCCCGCAGGTGCGCCAATGGATATATCGGGCAGAGATGCGAGTTTAAAGATTTGGATGGTTCCTATTTACGTAAGTAAAGTCACATCGACGCGTCTGCTTTTTATGTATTTATGCAACAGCAGCAACAGCAGTAGTAGTAATAGTAGTAGTAATAATGCTCGCGAATCGAATAAAAATGACGTCTCTTTCTCTTCTTCTCTTAGCTTCGCGGCAGCGAGTAATGCTGGAGACAGCCAGCATCGCCGGCGGTGCCACAATAGCAGTATTCCTCGTCGTTATCATTTGTATAGCGGCTTATATCCATTGTAAGCGAAAGCAGAAGGAATTGCGGTCGAGGTAATTGATCGTTCCATTATTATTGCTGTTATTTCATTCGCGGCACGGATTTCGGCATATCCGGCGCATATGTACGTACATAAGTACGTACGTACATACGTGCCGCGTTGTACGCGACTTTGGGGCTCTTCGAGGAAGCTCGATACGTCATCAGTCTCGATTCACCGCGAATCTGTGTGCTCGCCAAATACAACCGCCACCTCGACGCACACGCGAACGTTACATTCGAGCCCCGTCTATTTGTTCTCTTCTCATTACAGCAGTAGCTGCATCGACACGGTGGATGGTCCTGGCCGAGATCCGGAGCTGAGGCCGTTCAGCAACCGCAGCCGCCCTCTCACGATCTTCATGGCGAAGAGCCTCAACAGCTCGGTAAGGAAACGAGGATGCACCGCGAGATAAGCTCGCATTATGCGGCTTACCGATATATCGGGAGCGTCCCGGCGAACGAATGGAATGCGAAACGCCCCGCGTTCCAATTTCCATTCTACCACACGAACGAACTAATGAGAGTAATAATGTTTTGTGTCGTGTGTGTTCGGGATGTGCTCTCACAGGCGACGATAGAGCAGACGAGAATGCCTGGATGGAATTGTCCAGAGGCGGAATCGATGAGGATGGCGTCTATCGGCGAGAACAAGCACCCGAGCCAATAGCGAAGCATGTCGCCACGCGCCGCCGTCCACGTATTGCAACGTCCCGCCGCGGCGACTCGCAATCGGCAACCCGCCGACAGTCGAACACGAGATCCTCGCTCAGCCGACGTTCTCGAGACGACGAGTCCGATCAGATCGTCGAGCAACTGTTGCCGTCACACTCGAATCGTAGCACGAGGTAGCTCTCGACGTTCCTCGAGATAGCAGCGCAGCGGCCTTTAGTAGCCTTTAGTAGTAGCAGCCAACTCTTGTTGGAGATATCCGATTATTCGATTCGGCGAGTGACTCTCTTAACGCGATGCTGAGAAAACGAAGCGACATCGAGTCAGCGAGTGTGTTGTCGAGTATATACGTTCATTTTCAGAGCTGATCTGTCGAAACATTCCCGAGAATTGTCGTACTCGAGTCTCTCTGTCACCCCCTCCCCCCCCCCCCCCCC